GATGACTAAACACATTAAAATGACAAAATCATACAGGGAGGGATTGGGGCTTGTGGTCATTATATTGATAAAATTCAATGATATGGTAGGCTGAGTTAGTGTCATATCAAGAATTTTGAGTGTTTACAGCAAAATATGGTATGCAACAGGAGAAAGGTCTGTAGCACACTCATTCAGGGTTCATGGTACATTACGAATCCATCAGGTATAAAGAACAAAGAATTTCTGTCCTAAAAGAAAACCAAAACAAAAATACAGACAATGGCAAAACCTCCCAGCCTGTCAACAGGATTTACAGCTGGCCCTTACAGCAGCGACTCTGTTTTTTTCAGATCCTTCAAGGAAGCATAAATTATTTTAATAACTATGTGCTGCAAGGTTCCTTAACAACTAATTAGTGGATTTAGGGCCTCAGAAAATGGGTTTGGACTGCAAGTTTTCATCAATTCTCAATTGCTGTCCTTAAGCACAAGCCGTGGTAGGATCCCTTCCTGAAGATGGAAGAACGGTGCTCAGTGCAGCATGCTTCTGTAGTTCAGGTAGCCAGTGCACACAGGCACATGCCCACAGGTACCCTTCAGTACAAATGCTCCTGGTGGAGAATGTGCATTTCAGTTTTGAATGGCAAAGTGTAGTTTTATACACCTGAGGAAAGATGCTGTGAACTCTCTTATCCACATATAGTGCAGGAGAATTCAGTCATTTCAGACGCATTCATCTTGAGATCTAGTGAGGTACATTAAGTAATACTAAGAAGAGAGCTGAAAATTCTCATCTGTTTTCAAGAAAAGTTCCTGACAGTGGAAAACAAAATAATTCAGGGACCTTCAAAACAGTCTAGACTTCGATAAATTGGTATAGAGCACGGGAGCATGCCAATTAGCAATAGCTGAATGTAAGGGCCATGGAAGGAGAACACTTGTTCCTTTAAGAGCAGCTGGTCAAAGGAGCTGTAAGCAGGAACATGCAGACACAAACCTGCCTGACACAGACTAAGGGAGGTAGTGATGAGAACAAACTTGGCTGGTGGCACTAATTGGTAAGGGCAAGTGGTGTGTGAGGAAGTTTATTTTTTTTGGCTGGGAGGGTAAGAAAAGGGAGGGAAACAAACACACAGAGACATAAAACCTGATCAGTTAGTGTTAACAAAGGCAATAACCAGAACCAAACCTGGTCAGTCACACCAGCTGATATCAAGAAGCCCAGCAACCCAGGACTTTGCAACTGATAAAAGCCAAGAGTTTATTTTTTCAGACAGTCATAGCATGAACTAAAAATAAACTTTTATCGGATTGGTGCTTGGAAATTACATTCTGGTTTACGCAGACTGAAGTTCATTTCATCTTGCCTCAGTAGCTAGTGAATGCAATGCAGGAACAAACAAAAACATAGATTTATAGAGCTCAAACTTAGAAAGTACTATGATTATCTTGTTTAACCTTGTGTACTTTATAGGCCAAAGTTTACAAGCTAAAATCTGTGTGAAGCCAATATAACCAATATTTGCTCAAAACTGAATCACCTAAGGAAAATCCAGCTGTGGTTTAAAACCTTCAAGGAACAGAGACACTCCACCAAATCCATTATAATGTTTTTCCCATGACTAATTATATTCACTGCTAAAAATGAGCACCTTATTTCTAATCTGAATGTATCAACATGCAGCTTTTAAGTATTCCCTCTTGTTTTTTTTCTGCTAGATGAAAAACCAGTTTGTTATCATACTGGTTACATAAAAAAATCATGAATCAATTAAACGCTGACATGTCAAGGTATGTGGTGAATAATGTCAGGCAAAATGAAAAAGAAATATATTTTTCCAAATAGAATATATACACATGATGATCACTTGATACAACGAGCTAAGTTGTAACACAGCACCTGAGTCATCAAAATCTATCCATCATCATTGGTATGCACTCAGGTTGTAAAGGAATAATCAAAACCAGCTTTGATTTATCTTGAGAACTGATTCTCAGTATGTTTATGCAATGTAAATGTAGAACATAATTAGATTTGTGCTTCCCAGTCATGCTTATATAAGGAAGATGCGTATTTTTTCCCCCCATCTCCAACCTGTGGACTCTCTTTATAGATCTGCACATGGCTACAACAAAGCAAATTCCTGGAGAATCAGCATCCAAATGCCATCACATTGGTTACTTTGGGAAACTTACTGCTGTTAAAGGAACAAAGTATTTAAAGGCAAAGATAAATTCACATGCAAGTTGCTTCATTTGAGAGTAATTGTTTACATTTATGACTGACTTAGGTACGATACAACAAGTAACCACTAAATGTAGTTACTGGTGGATACTTGGCTGGTATAGAGCCAGTTGCCAGTCTGAGCCAGACTTCTTGACCATAATTTAACTCTAATAAAGCATTTCCAGTAATTACTCTGTCAGTGTACTTGTTACTATTAATATTTTCAGCCTGAAAAGTGAGTTTGTCTATTCCGTCAATGACCAGATAGCCAGAGGCATGTGGACTAAATGATTCAATGGTATATTCAAAAACATACACCCCCAGATACGGAACATGAAACTTCCCAGTTGCTGGGGCAAATGAAGCTCCGTAGTTGACATCCAGATTATTAAATCTGATGGGTCCTGGAGTCGTCATTCCATATGTGTGAGAGGCAAAAAAAGCCACCATAGGTGCATATCTGTATGATCCTTTTGAAAAATCTGGAAAGGAATAAATAACAATTTCAAGTAATGTTACATTCAGACCAGCCCGAATATCAAAAGCAGCTTTTCTGAAGTCACATCATCCGTAGCTTGAGCAACCAAAACATAGTATTTCTGCATAAACACAGAATTTTTCTCTATTGTATAAAAAGTCACTTTCTTCACAATTAGTGCTAGGTGTACCAACAAAAGAATAACTTTAGAAACAGCAAGGGAACTTTATGTTTGATCTATACTATGTTACCATTAAGGGAGCTGCTATTTTTCTTCTCTTTCCCCACCCCACCACCCCGGGATCTCTTTCATTGTTCATCTGTGTGCGCCGAAGCCAAGAATTTTCTCCACAAATCTTAGACAAACACTGAAGAGGTTCAGCACTCCTGATGTTAAATGAGGGAATAAAAGTGTATGTTTTTCTGTTCCAGCTGAGCCTGCACACTATGATTCCCTGCCACTGTAAAAATTATTTTATTCACTATTCATATGCTGTCATGAGTGAGAATCAGCCAAATGGCTGCTGAAAGCTGCATAAAATTCACATTCTATGTGGCCTGGATGTAAATTATTTATTTGTTTTCTGGATTGAATAAGCACAGTTTCCACTTTTCTTTTTTGAAATATCTTTCAAGGACTGCATCCTTTGCTGATGAAAATCAGAAGCATGCCTAAATGACTCCTTGAGGCCACAGTCCCACACATCATGGTAGCTACTGGTATTTATAAAGCATTTATGGCCATGCTGAAGCTAGTATTCCCCAGTGATGTGATTTTTCTTCAAATTCCATAATATCATGTTCAAATACATCTATTGCACACCCTCCCACTCTGCACAATTCAGCAGGGAGCCTTCCAGCTATTATGGCTGGTCCCAGCCCAATTTAATCCCATCATCTGGCCATATTAAAGAAAGAGATCATGAGTCACCTACAGGGATTGATGTCTTCAGCACCAAAACACAGGACACTACTACTTGAGTTGGCACTCATTAAAGTGAAATGTGAGACCTTTGACCAGCAAATGCTCTCTAATTAGGCCCTGGGGCAGGGGCTCATACTGCCAGCTTATCGCACTACTAAATTCTTTACTTGCCGACACTCAGAGAATTGTCGTTCACCAGCTTCGTACTGCAGTTGACTCCTCCAAAGGGGTGGCGACAAGCACAAATAAAACTCTGTCTGTCATTGATACAGGTTCCTCCATTCTGGCACGGGGAACTGACACAAGATGAATACTGCCCTGTGATAGGGAGGTAAGAAAACCAACAACTTCAGTTGCAATGATATTACAGTGACACTTCCCAAGTTTTAAGTATTTTGGAACACCTCTTTGTCAGTATAAAGCTGGTGGAATTTCTGCTGGGGTTCTGTGTGAAGGCCAACTTCGGATCATGTCCAAGCTGTTCAGACCCTTTGCAGTCCAGCCACCCTCTTTGCCTGAACACAGCATACCCTCAGCTAGCCTCCAAGATATTCAGAATTACCTGTGAATTCTGAGTTCTGCTTGTCTCAGAGGGTAAAGTACATGTAATAAGATGAAAGATGCTACAAATCTAACTTCTTTGGAGCACCTCCCTCAACAAACATTATGAGAACCATCAAAAGATTGGGATTTCTGAACAGCTGTTCAGATATCAGTCAGATATCTTGTATAGTCCAAGAGACCCCCGTAAACAAACACCAACTTTTCCTTGCTCATTTCTTCCTTCCTGTCCTCTTTCATTTAATGACCTCCCTCCCTGCAATATAAGTTTAAAGCCAGCAAAGCCTGGCTACAGCCAAGCATTAGGAAATTATCATTCTGCTGTTCTCTACCTAACTCCTTCCGTAATAATCTAAGGCAGGGTGGCCCTACAGGTGGCCAGGAAAGATTCAGTCTGGAGGATACTCATTCCCACAGGGAGATGGGGGGGATGAAAATCCACCCCTCCTTGCCACAGCCTGACAGTCCACAGAGATCTCCAGTACCAGCTGCTCACCTCCCTCTTCCAGCCAGTCACAGTGGCAGTGGACTTTTTGTGCTGAGCCCCATACAGCTGCCTCAGACTCCTTCCCTTCCTGTATGGTAGCCCTTCAGACACAACAGCAAATCAAGGCACAAGTGAAAATCAGGCAGTCTGCAATCATGTGATTAAAGAAATATGTTGGATCAGCTAATTAATCTTTACTAAGAATAGGAATGTGCTGAATGCTGACCATATTGCGAGAGACCTTCAGAAACAAACAGCAAAACTTGGAGGAGACAGTCCTGATATATCCAAATTTATTTCCTTCTTTTGGTGAGGCAAAATAAATAGTTATTTTCCTAATGGTTCAGGCAAATCTATGCTTTAGTTTCAATAGTGCAGGCACAGAAGGCTGCTCTTTTCGGACAGAAACAGCTCACTCTTGGGTGTACCAAAATGCAGATTTTGTACTGGATGGTGTACAGGTTGGACTGTCCTGTCTCTGTCATTACTCACCCAGATGTGTCACAACTATTGCAGGAGAGTCTGGCTACTGGTAATGAAAGATCTTAAATTCTATCCAAACCACTTCCAGTACTTCCCTTTGCCCATAGCTCAGTTCCACGATATCTACCAAGACTGTTGTAAAAGTTTTGTATTGCAAGTCACACAAATCCTACCAAACAGATGGTTTTGCAGAGCACCCTCACTGAGGATGTCCTTGCCTCTCTTCCTGGCTATGTTTGAGCTGGCCAGATCATGCCCAGCCAATATGGAGAAATCTGTCAGTCCAGTGACAGACTGAGCTCTGAGACAATAACTACTGAGTGTAATTGTATAATGTCATAGCAGTTTGGGGGGAAGAACATTCAGGCCACATTAAAAATTAAATATTGCTATGAAAAATTCCAAACACAAAGCATTCCCAAGCCATACATTTTTCCTTTCTCTTGCTTTGGTCAAATAGAAGTCAAATGTTTTAGAAAATGAACCTTTTCTTTGCCAGGAACTACCAGCAGAGCTCTGGAAAGAGAACTTCACAGAGTCCTGTGATGGTAAACGTAGACTGGTAGGTGGGAACTCAAATAACCTTTCATAAAACGGCCTACTTATTTCCAGGGAAATGTTGAACTGGATCTTCACATAGATATTTCAGTAATGCCCATAGTTATCTTCAGATTTCCATCCAGCCATTTCACAGACTGCTGCATTAAGGCAAACAATTTCCATCAGAAATTTTAGTTCAGTGAGCAGAATGCTAAAGCACATTGTACGGTGCCACTTGAATTTGCACTGATGGAACACATGGACTTAAAAACACAGCAGTAATTCTTTCCACAGAAAATAACATCCATCCTGTAATGCTTGAAATAAAGCAATTTAGGACTGCCATGACTAGGGTCACAGCACAGGCAACTGGACATGAGGAAATAATGTTTTTCTTCTCAGAAAATAGTTTTGCTGCAAACTTAATTGAAGTTATTTTTTACTCATATTTACCAAGCATCCACATATTTACCAAGTGTGAAAGCAGAAAAGGAAGGAAAGCAGCTGATTGTGCTGACTGTATCATACTCCCAAAATACAAAAGCTTTGTGTAAGAACACAGCAGCCTTTCTGCTAATTGGCCTCTGCTTATCATAAACAAGAAGTAAATCCCAGAAACAGGAAAAAGATCATGAAAAGGAAGTGATAATGAGATTGAGACTAGTGTTTTAACAGTCTGCTGAGGGATGATATTGCCTGAACTTAACCTTGGAGTTAAATCAAATTCAGACATAGCTTTACCTACAATAAATTAACCCTCCAGGTGCAGCATTGCTTAACAGCAGCTGGGGAGCCTTCTCCATTTGCTAGAACTAGAAGAAGCTGTGAAGAGGTTTGAGCCAAGTTAGGATTTTCAGAGTAAGAGGCAAATTCCCTAGATCTCCACTGAGCAAGTAATTTCTGTGTAACTTCCATGTGGTCTTACAGTAGCATGTTTTTGCTGTCATTTCTGACTGAGGCTGCGCCACTGCCCAGTATTTTCTTTTTGCTTGCTGAAGGGCATCCTGAGACACTATGTCCATATTGGCTGCTTGAGGTAAAGATGCCAAGAGGTTCAGATTAGGAAAGGATTTCCTACTGTAGTACATATCTTATTTTTAATTAACCTTTTTACAACTTAGTAGTGTAGAAGAATAAAAGAGAGAGACCTTATAAATTAAATTAAAGGTTTAAATTGCAGCTATTAAAAGCAGAGAATAAACTGAATGCAGTTGCTATTTACACTCAGTATGGTAGGAGTGAGGATAGCCAGTTAATGCTCAGCTTTGCTATTCTTCAGGAGGGCAAGCAGCCAGAAGCTCTTTTGGGAAATAGACTGCCAATGCTGTACAAACAAATCTTCAAACAAATAATGAAGCTCTGTCAGTATCTACTGGGGTGTTGTTTAGAAGCAAATCAAATATTTAGCAATTTAATGGTCTCCTTATGGCAAGAAGTGACTCCAGTGGTTCAATTTGGAAATGGCTGAACAGGAAGTAACTTACCAACATTTTCTCAATATTTAATTATCAGTAACTGTCTCTCAGGAAGCCCTGGGAGATTGGAAGAGCCTGGGAATCTACTAAACCACCCAGATCACACAGGGACAGACTGGTTTTCAGTCTACAATTATTAATCACCTCCAGCTTAGCGCTTTCAGTTTGACAGCAATAAAAGCGATAAGCATCCCCAGTAGCCTATATGCAAGGAGTGCCAGGCAGCAGTGGGGGAGAGGCAGCCCCACTGGGACTGGCAGCCAGGAACTGATGGTGACAGCAGGGCTGGTGTCTCACCTGGACAGGTGACAAGCAGAGCATGGCAGGTTGATCATGGCAACCAGAGTTAATCACAGCCCAGCACAACTGAAAAGACCTGGGATTTTGGCTTGAGCTGAAACAGGGATCCCAGGCCCATGGGCAGGGTGTACAGTGTGGTGGCTAGGTCAGGATGCCCAGGGCAATGGAGGCTATAGGTGCACTCAGGGCCCTGACAGGGAATTCAGGTACAAGCAATGTGTAGGGTGTTTGTGGTGCAAAAAAGCACAAAGATTCACCTGCAGTGCTCCTGGGCAAAAAGTGAGGAGAGATGCCTCAGCATTGGGTGGGGGCGGACTGCCAACACTGATCTGAGTTACTTGGACTCTGGCAATTCTGCTTCTCTGTTAAGCAGAGGTGTGTAATAATTCTAGTGTGATGACTTCAGGATCACTAAATTAAAAACAACAACACAGTTCCGTCTACCTTATTAGTCTAAAGAGTAAATGTGCAAAACTGAAGTACATGTCATCAAACTGAACTAGAATAACCATCAAACCTGTGGAATTAAAACATAAGATGCAAAACATTTCAATACGTTAATTTCACTGCAGCCTTGAAAGATAAAGCAACAATTGAAGCTTGCATTTCTGTTAGGAGTCCAAAATCATGTGAAAACAAAATCAGAAATACGACATAAAGAAAACAATAATGAAAAGAAATTACCTTTCTCTCACATGGATACACTATTTTAAATACATACAAAACACAGCTCCACTCTCAGTTATTCTTGTTGATGGGAGAGTGGCATAATCTGAACAAAGTGAAACCACAACTAATACAAGACATGCAACAGGAGAGTGCATTCACCTTTGAAAAGCACAGCAGCCTCTAGGTTCGCTAGAGAACAGACACAACACTAAATGGCAACGGGAAAAAGGGAACTGAGCTTAGCTTTGATGCCCTTGCGCTGACATCATGGATTTCTGCAGTAGAACAGTGCATGGGAAGGTAGGACCAGACATAATCTATAATCAAGACTAATGAAGAGTTTACTGTATATTTTTTCTTTAAAGGCTGTCATCTTCTATGTGTTAGCTACCTGAAGCTCTCTTAAGACCATCACTTTTTTATTCACCCCAGGGTGCTGTTATAGTTAGTATCAGGTCCAGTGTTAGATTTTTTTGTCCCTCATACACGTATTGCAGTCTCTAGCTGACATAAACTTTTTCTTTTGTTCGTTCCACAATATGGGAAGTCTCCAAACCTGTATGTCCCTGTATAGGTAAAGCAAACTCACATTATTTCCCATTGATTTCAAATGACTACTGAGGAAAATACTACCTCAGGGCCAAATCCTGAACCCATTAAAGCCAATGAAAATCCCAAGCTGCTAGAGTAGGATCAAATATTGAACATGTTGGAATCAATGAAAATTGTCATACACCTCTTTCTAGAATTTTATTCTAAACTTTTTTAATTGAAAAAGACGATCTAAGATTGAATATATTTTATACTTAGCCAATTATGCCTTAGGGTTTCTTCTAGAAACTTTAGTAGAGTCAGCACATATCTCTGGATGGTCTCCTGGAACTTAGAGAGAAAAAGCTTTCCTGGGGAAGTAAAATCTACCCAGGCAGAAGATGGTTACTTGTTAATTAGGACAATGGTCTTCCTTCTTTAACTTACAGAAATGTAATGTATGACTTTGCTAGGCATGAAATGTCATTGAGTGCAAAAGCTCATTACTGATGAAAGAGTCTGCATAAACATTGCTATGTAGAAACCTTGTTTAAAAATTGGGCTTTTCAACATCTGCAAAGATCTGCGGTTTCTGTACGAGTGAGCATACATCCAATGCTATCAAGCAAACTATTTGTTAAAATTCAGCATGAGATAAATAATAAACAGGAAAGACATTAATTAATATGGAGTGAAAAACAGAGCAGGTGGCAGCTTCCTATGCTCCAGGAAGGTAGCACTAGTAACATTTTCCAACAAAGTAGAAGACTCAGGAAAGGATCAAAGGCATCATGTCTCCTTTTCCCTTAGTTTTAATTGCGAACAAGGGTTTTGAATTTCCAGCCTGTGCAGTGGCAGGAACAGGCAGAAAACAGAAATAATCAAATTACTTTGTAGTAAGAATTTGGCAAATCTTGGTGCATTTTTAAGTGGGTCTGCCTGTTGGAATAACTGTGTGTCCTCTCTAACTGAAAAAGTAAGCAAGGACTGAAATACTTCAGTGGGGATGGCTTTCAGCAGAAGCCAAGTTACTCATGGGATTGAGCCTTTAAAAAGGATCCTTTTCATTGATTATTGAAAAGGGCTGTACCTAGGACAGGAGGAGATGAAGGAGGGAGGGTGGGGAAGAGAGGGAAGAGGCATGGAGATGGAAAGGGAGATTGCCCATGGTCTTAGCACATGAACAGGAATGGTAGCTCTTACTCCCCCTACATCTGCTTACAGTAGGGACCAAATAGAATTTCAGAAATGTTCGTAAGTTTAAGAATGCTTTACAGAAAATATTTAAGTCTGGGTCTTCAAAACTATCTGGACATCTATTTGTCATTTAAGAATCTGTCTCAATTATTCTAATGTGAATTAGAGTCCTCTGAGGATTTCTAGTCACTTAACCAAACCACTCTTCATATTCCCAGAAATTATATTTCCAGAAAACATTAGCTTGTGCTATTGATTGTCCCTCAAGTATGATTCCAGAAGTCATAACTCAGAGCTGGTATTTCTATGAATTCATCCATATGAATTCATTTCATATGATGATGTTTGGATTTAAGTTCAGAAGCGAATCACAGTCAAAAAGTCCTTTTTAAGAATGGGAGTTCCTACTCAGCTGAGCTGTTCTCCAGATGGACTCAAGTCAAATCTACTTTATTGGCTGGGCTCCTGATTCTGCAAGAACACACTGTCGTAATTGTAACTGCACTAATATTCTCAGTGAAGTACTGAAGGAACTGGCAAAAGTGTTGTTACAGTCATTTCGTGCATTCACTTGCTTCAGGTTTTTGACACTTTTCATCATCACTGACACTGCAAAGTACTGACGCAACTCCAGATTTCTCTCACAGCTTGCATGTTTTTTTACTGAAATTGCTAATTGAGATGCAGGTACAAAATTCTTGTAGTTTAGATTTTGTTTAAATCATCATTTACATTTGAAAGGTCAGGTTCTCATCTGAGTGTGTGTGCATGCACATGTATCTTAAACTGATCAGTTGTGAATTTATTAAGGAAAATTAAATGGAGCTTCTAGATGCCTTAGTGCAGAGTCTCCTCATAAGAAAAAACAAATTCTTTTGTAAGCAAGAGTAACCTCAAGTTCTTCTGAAACACTTTTTATGGCAGTCTTTGGACTTTTTATTCACCCTTTGTCACACTCTGCCACCTCAGCTCATCACAATGGTTACATAAGCCCTTATTACAAAGACTCTAATTTTTAGTAGAGTAAAATGCATTACCTGGATCTATAGTATTATCTGTGTTTCTCTGACTTCTGTTTGCCAGGCTCATGGTGATGTTTGTTGCTCCTTTTTTCACTGGAGCTGGTTTCTTTATAACTGGTTTCACCTGTTTCTGAAGTTTGGTAATATTGTTCATTGCACTTGCCACCAATATGTCAACATGCTGGGTTAAATTTGTCAAAATAGTTCCTGCTTTTATTTCAAGCACAGATTCGATGAGCTCTTTGAGGCCTCTCTGCAGCAGGGGAATATCTGGCTGAGCAAGTTTAATTAGCACAGGTATACTCGCGTTCACTTTTTGGATGCTGCTGTTGGTATCCTGACACAGCCCCCAGGCCTCATGAGCAGTCTTGTTCAGAAGTGGAATGCTGTTTGAGAAGCGGATCGACTTGGCTTCCAGGGCCTTGATCCTGGAACTCAGTGTCTGGAGCTGAAGTGAGACCATTTGTTCTTTCTCTGTTGAGGCAGCTTTGGTTTTTTTCAGTGAGACACAGTTGTTTGCCAAAAACTTGGAAATTTTTGACTCCACACTCAGAAGGCGAACCTCATGGTCCTTTGATTCTTCCACAGAGTCAAATAGTTTTTCTTCCAAGCGGTTGATATCATGTTGTTGATTGTCCACTTTTGACGATGTTTCATTTAAAACATAGAAAAATCTTCTGAAATTGTGGAGGATACTTTTGTCATACTTCTCATATGGAAGATCAGAAAGTGATGGAGCTACTTGTGAAGTGAATTCATACTTCTTGCCTATGAGCAGTGTCCAGAGGGATTCATTCAACTGTTGGAACTGGGGAATGAAAGCCAGAAGGCTGTCCAGTTTCTCAGCTCTGCCACAGCAGACTTCAGTCTCATTTCTTAGAGCACGTAGTGTATCTTTCAGTACATAGTTATCTTGAATAGAATCAATAGCGCTGTTTATTACTATCATGGTCTTGTTTAATCCATCTTCTATTTCCATGGAGCATTCATTAACACGACTCTCAAACAGTTCCTGATAAGCCTGAGATTCATTTTTAAGTCCTTCCTGAGTTTTGGAAAGGTCCTTAATTGCAGAACTCATTCTGTTAATGATGGTTGTGAGGTTTTCAAGCTTCTCATTGATTACTTCAGCTTGGATTTGTTGTTCATACTCCGAAGTCAGACTAAAAGGTACCCCTTGTTCAATCAAGGGTTGCAGGATCTCCATATCATAGCACAAATCATTAATTTGCTCATTCATTTTTTCCATCTTATTGTCCAATGGAAGGACCAGATCAGAGAGACTTTTGTTTAGGACAAGCACATTCTCTTGGGTTGCTGACAGCTGTGTTTGGAAATCCCTTCTGCTCTCTGACAACATGTCATCACAGACTCCCAGAACAGAGTCTCTCTGAATTTCCAGTGCAACACTGAGATTGCTGATCTTGCTGTCCTGGACTCTTAAGTCATCATAAATCTGCAGCACCATCATGCCTTGTTTCTTTACTTTCTCATGCAGCGTGAACATGTACTCTGTAACATTGTACTCTGTGACTTTATCTGCTGAAGGGATGTTTTGGCTTGAAGACTGTTCAGCTGATAACAGCTGTTCATGAGCATCTTTAATTTCAGTAAGAGTCCTATTCAAAGATTCATAATAAATTACACTTCTTGACTGTTGATGCTCCAAGTTATCTTCCAAGGATTTCTGCTTTTCCTGTAAAGCTTTCATAGGCTTATCACAGGTGAGAGTCATTTCCTCTTTCATCTGCACCATATGGCTCTTTAGTTCCAGAATGTCAAGCTTTGTTGGCCCATTGTCTTTCTCCCGAACAAATTTTTGTTGGGTTTCATTCAGATGTTTGACTAATTCTTTTGTATTTTCAAGATCATCTGACAAAGTAGACACAGTCTTGAAAATTTGAGCCATGCTCTCTTGCATTTCACCTTGAAACACCTTAAACTGTTCTCTGACAATGTTTTTGACTAATTCATTAATACTTTTGGATTTGAGACCTTTGAGAAAAAGGAGAAATATGGAAAGAATCAAACCAATTGTGTTAGCAACATCAAAGTTTCTTCCACAGTGTAAGTGAACACAGTGCTGTACAGAAGTGAAACACACATCCCCGCCCCAATTTACCCACTCATAGAGCAAAATTTAAAGCTAAGGAATGTAGAGGATGGCTAATAGTGTTTGAAGACCCATTCCTGTTTCTACTGAAATCAATGGGAGTTTTGCTGTTATTTTGAAAGGGCAAACTCAGACTCTGCATATGTGGTATCAACTTTGATCTTTTAGATAAGCTGTTTCTGAGCATTGAAATGAGGAGATCTGTGTGCTTTTGTGGTTTGCTCATAAGAAAATGACATGTCCTTTCTGCACTGGGAACGTAAGGAAAAAACACCTGCTTTATGAACGTTATGGTCAAGAAGTGAAAGCAGAGATTATTACCTTCCCATTGTATTATATGTGGTAAGTGATCATATAATACACTATAGTGAGAAAGAGACAAAATGAAAGAATAGCCTTACTTGAATATCTGAAGCTACACTGAAGTTGCAATGTGACAACTGCTACAAAAGGTAGGCATTTTAAAGGTACAAAACTTTAGTTAGTCTTGAATACTACAACTCTTTAAATACCTCCTGGCAATACTGATCCTGGAAATACTGATCCTGAAAAGCACCAGGCAGAGGTGAATGTGTGGGAATTCTGCTCCTGTGAATAACATCAAAATATGTCTCCCGTATAGCCCTAGATGGATTAAGACAGTCATAAAATAATATTCATCAAGAGTGCTGCATAACATATTTGAATTAATTAGAGCAGTAGTTCTGCTCTGGTGTGAGATTAGAGGGATTTTTTTAAGTTGTTCTCCAAAGGTAGCCCCTATGTCCAGCTGAAACACTGAAGCATTCTTTGCACATTTTTTCTAAACCCTATGAACACTTGCAGCCAACTTGTGATATAATTTTTAAACCCTTCAACCTCTACAATACCTTGATGACCATCTGTTGTCTGATTAAAACTGTATTGATAAAGGCAGAAATTCTCTCGTCTTCCTCTATTTTCTTCTCAATTATTTCTATAGCCTGGATTTTATTGCTTCATCTCTAAAACAGCAAGGCATGTTCTGAAACTTTATTTGAAAGTACATTCTCAGCAAGAGCAGTAAAATGTTATGAAATCAGACCCATGAAACACAATACAACTTTGGGCTCCAGGGGTGCAAAAGGATTCAAATAAAAATGGTTTTGTTTAGCAAACTAGAGAGAAGCACAGTATTTTTTCTATTCAGGAGATCCATTTGAATTCTGCCTATGTTTCCAGATGGAAACAGAAATAAAGTAGTTGATAATATTTGTATGAACCATAAATAAGTCTCAGTCTTCATTATGTCTGGTAAAATGGACAGTAAACACCTCTGATGCTTAGGGGAGAAATCTGTCACTTGTTCAGATGGTGCTTTTTTTCAAGGCAGGGTTTGATAGGCAGGTGCAATAAGTTTGCTAGCCTAGAAAAGAGCCACTTCATGCTACATCTCTGAAGTTTCCTAAGCAACAAACTCAATTACTGTCAACTGCTGTCACAGATGTCACAGCAATTTTTACAGAAACTATAAAAAGCAAAGTGATAATACTGGGATTGTCTTTATTATTTCACTCTTTACTATCTGAACAGCAAGTAAATGACTAGACAGATGTATACACATGACTCTGCACATGAATGCGCACACTTATACAGAGCTTTGTCAGTGAACTTCAGTGAAGGGAAAACAGTAAGATAAGATACCTGAGAATAAGGATGTCCTGGCAGCTGGGAGGAAGAACCAAAATATGAACGTAGAGTAAAATAATTGACATGTAGAGAAACCATTGTATGGGAAGACATTTTTCCCAGTGAGGGTGGTGAAACCCTGGCACAGGTTGCCCAGAGAGGTGGTAGATGCCCCATCCCTGGAAACATTCCAGGTCAGGTTGGATGGGGCTCTGAGCAACTTGGTCTAGTTGAAGATGTCCCTGCTCATTGCAGGGGGGTAGGACTAGATGGCCTTAAAAGGTCCCTTCCAACCAAAAGATTCTATGATTTGATCAAGTTATTTTATGATGCTGAAAAATGTTCTGTGCTTTAGGAGACACAATGAGCTGCGAAGAAAAGTTTAATGGCTGTGGAAAGAAACAAGATTACTCCACACCATCTGTGAAGAATTAATTAAATTTCTTCATCTCAGCAAGAAATCTTGAGAACAAACCATCCTGCTGCAAGAGGTCTTCCACAGAATCTACATTGGCCTTTTCTTTCTGTGAGAGTCAAGAAACTGCCAGCCTTGCTCTCTCCCATTCCTACTCTATTTAGTTGGATCGTGGGTGTTGTATGGAGCTCAGCTCTGGTTTTCAGGTGTTCTTGTTATCAAGGGGGAGGAACTTGACAAAAACAGGTTGGGTTTCTCTCCCTTACTTGCTGGCTAGGACAACTAGGTGCCTGGTAAGAAAGTGCTATTCCAAAATTTACCAGGGGCTGTGGGAGCACGCTTCTCCACAGAAAGACCTGACCTAAACTTGTGCTGTAGGTGACAGTTGGATATATTCTTCAGCTTGAGCTGAGAATACATATCAGTACATTCATGGATGTAACTCAATTTCTCTGTTGCTCATTTTGAAATAGAAAGCTCCAAACTACCTGTGAACATTAAAGTTCTCTTGTACTTTTTATGATATTATAAATCTTAATTTTAACTCCCTGTCTGAAATCCACAGTGTGTAATTACTTTGTGTCAACATATACTCCCTTTGCAGTTCCATTTATTTGAAGAATAATGTGCAAAATAAATGTATGTACACAGGAGACTGAGTTAAGGTTATCTATCCAGCTGTAAATGACATTGCCTCAGAAGCGATTAACACTCCATTGTTGAGTTCATTTTTAAAGGAGTCCACATTTTAATAATGAAGAGGAAAGGAGTCTATAAAAAGGCTTGATGTGGAGTGAAAGGAGGAAGAAAGAATAGCAAGAAGTAAGCAGAGTTTATTAAAATAAAGGGAGAATGCCAAATTATTTTCCCTAAGTACAAAGTGGGAACAGTCTCCTGAGTAATGAAAACAGTTTACAAAACGCACAACAGGTTTCATGAATCAAATTAGAGGAGCATATCAGTTACTCCAGCGAGTGTTGCCCTATATTAACAGATGACAGGTTTGTGGGACCAAAGTCTATTTACAGATGAAACCAAGAAATAAAGACTTTGTAAACTGTATTGAATTGTTTGTTCACAGAAACAGACCTCACTCCTAACAAACCCAAATACAAAGCTGGCCAGCCATTAAAATTTCTGTGATAAGAAGGTAATTAATGGATATGAGCAAAACCTGGACACTGTGAGAAGAAAATGGAAAAGCAGGGGTAGAAAGAAGAAGTCTGAATAGCAACAAGCTATGTGATTTAACTGTGCTTTGAAAGCACACTGCTTCAGGATGGCAACAGTAGTGGGAAAAGTTGTGTTTTGCTTCAGGTGAGTAATTTTTAGCAAGTCTGATGTGCCTATGCTGCACATCTGTACCAAGTTAGAGGACAGCATGGAAACTCCTCCCAGCTCCTGCTACTTTAGCATGTTCTTTGCCCACTTGGAGTATGACTGACTGATATTCCCTGGACAGAAACTGCAGTTGCCCTTTGACATTATATACACAAGCCAACACAAACACTAACCTTGCTTTCTCTCCCCTCCTTCCCTCAGTCTTGCTGTTAACCTATGTACAAGCCAAGAATAACCTGTATTGGAGTTCCCATAATTAGAGTCAAGGAAAGTAGTGGATAGCAGCATTTTCATTAGAGCTACTTGATTAGGAAATAGATTGAGAACATAAATCAAAAAAAAGGGCCAGCAACTGGAGATTTCATCTAAGAGATTTCATGCTCTATAATACAGAGCATGACAGATAAAAACAATAAAGGCTTGAAACACATTTGCAGAAAAGTGTGAAATAATGAGGGTTTTGTACTGCACATTTTAATTAGGACTTGGACCCTTAAATATAGATAGGGAATGGAAACACAGCACAGGATGCAGCAAAAGACCTCTTGGAATAGCATGAAAATGACAGCTAGAATGAGTGGAATATAAAAAAGAATGAAGGAAAAGCAGAAGAGAAATGGGAAATATTCAAAGACAAATTAAATGTACGCCCAAGGGTCAAGAATGCCATCTAGCAATATGTGGAGAGGTGAAAGCAGGTCACTGAGCAAGAGACAGGATAAACTTGATCCAGGATACAAGAGAGCCATCTAGCATGTGGCATGAGTAACTCAGGAGACAGAGGAGGACTGAAAATACAAGAAATGGGACCACACTTGGTAAATTCAAGGCAGATACAAAAGCACTTATTGTTTCATTTAGTTTTATCTTAATGTAAGGAGCTCCAGTTCCCTCGTTCTATTTTTAAACAATAGAAAAGTCCTCTGGATTCTAAAGTGTATAATACAAACAAGTTAGGGAAAATTCCTGGAAAATTAGAAAAATATTGCACATCAAGGAAATCAAAGCTTCAGTCCCAATCTGTTTGTTAAGCACCATTTGTATGTGAGTAACAAACAGATCTTGCTGCAGGATTCACAAAGAATAGTTCTGCTGGCAAGGCTCTGCCCAATCTCCTGATCTCTGGCTGTGTCTTTCTCATCTACTGAATGTGAGTACAGACGTTTATCAAAGGTAGCCTAATATGATCAGAGGCAAATTATTCAGCAGGAACCACCACAGAATTCCTTATACATTTCCCCTGCATATGTGAATTACGTATTAAAGAATATTGCTTAGACTTGGTAGCAAAGCAAATACTACATCCTTTAGCAGCTGTCAGATAAACAGAGATAAGAATATTTGTAGAAACTCTAAGTAAATGAAAATGCCTCAATAGTGGCTTAGGTTACCATGTAGATGATATAGTACCCAAGGACGTAAATTTTTTGTCACTATAACAGACACCATAACAAATGTCCAAATAAACATTGTTATGCCTCTATTATGAAATGAAACTACAAGAGTTCTCCCTATAAATGTTAAGCAATATAATAGGACAGTCTATGAATGTTTTTAGCATTTATTTTTTTCTGGCACCTTTAACTGTGTGAGTGATTACATTAATTTATTTTTATTACCTTTTAGAAAAGACTGGAAGTCTCTGCCCTTATCTTCATTGATTTTGCCTTCCAGAGAAGAAAGCATCTCGCTCACATCATTCATCGCAGTAGCAATGCTGTCAACCTTCTTCTGTAGAAAAGTCAGTTTCATCTCCTGGCTGCTAATCTTCTCATTCATTTTTTGTGTAAGTGCTTGGTCAGAGAATAAAATGAGAAGAAAAAAAAAAGTGTTGAAACATTGAGGGGAAGGAGGAAAGAAAGTATAGTTGTCTTGAGAGACATTAGCTGGAAGTGGAGTGAAGTTTCTGAATTTTTAGTCTTGAGGAAATCATCTTGATTTTTGTCATGTATTGTGTATTAGTGACATTCAGAGCACAGCAGTAACTAATTACTGAAGCATCTGTATCCATTATAAAGTATTTATAATTCTACAAGAGTATTTTGAATGGTTAGCATACTTTAATCAGCATAATGCCATTCTTCTTCCACCTAGCACACTAGGGTATTCAGTTAGCTCTCATTTAGTCTATCTATCTCCTTTAACACAATCACAAAAGAATTGATTTTTACTTACCATTTATAACATAACTTCATAAACTCGCAAGGCTTGTGTCTGAAGGAATACATCATCTTTTCAGTGTCGGGGTCAAAATAAAGACTTGTTCAACAGAGCAGCAAGGCAGAAAAACAGCTAATAGATAAATTACTTTGGAATAATCATTAGTCTGCCATTAAGAAAAGATGCTCAACCTGTGAAGTCAAGGTTATTTTAAAACCTGCCCAAAGTGTTCCTGACACTTGTAGTCTCATCAGGTATAAAAAGGCCTAGCTAGATGATTTTAAGATAGATAGTGGTGAAGACAGCTTTGGTCTTGCAAATGAAGACCCCACATGACTTCAGCTAGCCATCTGAGTTTCACAGCTGACAGGAATGAGGCTTAGTCTGGGATTTCAGAAGGTGCTGATAAAATTAAATGCTCTAATTCCTGTAAGCAAAGCTATAAAATCTCTTCAGTTCCTTCAACAGTTCAGCCTAAATGGCCTACCTTAGACACATGATATACTACCCTACATGATCCAGGCCATACTATGACTTAATAAACTGCTATGCAAGAGATTCTTTAGCATTACATACAAATATTTATTAGTGTAAATCTACAGTATTGCTATTGATCTTATGTCACTTTTCATTATGTCATCAGTGTCTATTCCCATAGCAATAAACAGTTATAATCAGAAATCACATAGTAGTACAGAGGCCTAAAGACTACAACAAAAAAAAACAAGTTATATGTAAAATGGCATATTCTTCTGACTTCTATTCTTCAAAATTCTAGTATGTAAAAAATAAATGTATCATATCAAACTTGATAGCATTTGGAAAAATCCAGAACATTCACTGTATGCACCCAGTCAGCACAGATGACGTGCCAACACCCATGAGAATGCTCTCCTGTAGAGGCATGTTAGTTGTAAATTCGTAATTGAATTCTAGAGCCTGGTAAATAAGGCTGGCTGGTTTCAGTTAGGATGTTAGCATCTCCAGCTGTTTACTTTGCCTACAGTGTCTACTTACACAGACACAAAATTGCATTTATAACTCAACCATCTAGTTTAGAGTCTGGCAATTCTCCCCAATGGCACTGTGGAGACAAGCCATTGATGGATCTTCTCTGTCTGAATACTCTTCATCATAATACTACTCTGTGACAGACAGACAGGTCTGGACACTTCTGCTACTGCTTGAATTCTCTGTGACAGACAGACAGGTCTGGACACTTCTGCTACTGCTTGAATTGTTACTATGAGAAACTGATTTGAATTCACTAGGGGCTCATGCATAGTCACCCAAACTGACAACTAACCTGCAGGGTGCAATGCTTTCTTCAGTCCACTTTCTGTCAGTTCCTACTGAAGGGGGAAGATAAGCTGCAGAGATGAACCTGAAAGTGATGTTTATAAGTGGTATGGCTGCATAGTGGTAGCTGGAAACAGAATCTGGCTTGTAGAGTCCTGGCAGCTGCTGATGGAATAACAGACCAGGGCAGTCAGTCCTGGCCCCAGGTCGTGTTTGCAGGGCTGGCAGCCAGAACAGGTATCTCTGTCCTTCTAAACTGACCCCATTTGATTTAAAAATAACTGAAAAGCAATTAACATGGAGCTCTGAGATGCCAATTTCAGAGTTATTTTTCAGAGCAGAATTCCTACTAAGAGAAGTGGCATGTTTCAATGCTCTATCAATCAAGCTCTCTTTTTCATATGGGTCCTGTCTGCTTTACTAGACAACATCCTCCTCCCTCCAGCACTGGGAGACTTGGGTGTTCACACGGTACCACCAAGGGGCAACAGCCTTCTCCTTTCTAACTCCCATTTGAAATTACCTTTCTATTCATGAATCTCCATGCCAGATTCATTCTTTCCCTCTCCTGCCTATGCTTTCTAATTTTTCTATTTGTCTATTATTATGTAAAGTAAAACACATATATGGACACAAGCACATACATGGGTACTGTCTCCATAAAACTCTGTGGCAGTCTAGATTCTGACATCCTGTTCTCCCAGCAGGCATGAATATCCCAGCACCAGAACAGTCTATTGACAACTGCAACACACAGACCTGAGAACATAATTTGCCTTATTATTTGGTTCCATAAAATGTTTTCGGATATAGGCCAACTGAGAGAGGGACAATAACACCATAGTGTGTAACAGCTGATAATTATACAAAAAGCCAGTGTAGACATCCGTAATCGAAACATCAACAGATTCAAAAGAAAAGGTAGTAAGAAAGTTCAAGGACCATGCCTCCTTTACAGTCTTTCACATCTTGTCCACCTTCTGGCTCCTCACCGTGTAAGCTACGAGCTCATTTGACAGTATGTAGAGAACATCGCCAAATGACTTGCATACAATTTGCCACCAAAAATTTACCTGACAAATGCAGTCTCACTCATTGCTGGGGAGTATATCACAAGCAGAGAATATTTTTTTCAAACAACTTCCTTATTCAAGCATGTTTCACATATTTCTTTTGTTGTTATTTAAACACTATATGCTCATTGTTGGCAGTTGTCTGAGTACACAGACTTTCTAAATAACTCTGCCTTACCAACATCTCTATACCCTTGAAGGCATATACACCTTCAGGTGGTACAGACTGGAATATAGTACAGTCTGTCAACTACTTGAATACCTCTAAATCATGGATACCTTTTCGTGTTTCTTTACAGTGAACACTTAATATTTGAATCGGTGGTTAACCAGAATGATCTGATAAGCCATTATCATTTCTGCTCCTAGTTTAGGGAGTGTGCAAACACACCTGGCATGAATAAAATTCCATTGCCATGAATACTTATGCAGACAAATATGAAATTAATTTTCTAGAATATTTGTGCTGGTAAACTTTAAATCATATAGATGGTAATGAAAAATAAATATAAAAGGAAGTGAGCACATCCAACAATTCTAGACATGAAGAGATGGAGAAGCTTGTCACGCAGCAGTACGCAGCAGTCACCTAAAGTAACTTCCCAATGTAGATCACTATTTGAATAAAAGTGTTATGGTTAATAACTAGCTCTTACAATGATGAGGTCTGTACATACCCTTGCAAGAAAACACCAACTTTAAGTTGAAGTAAACACAGCAGTGAGCACATGAATAGCGTAATAAGAAACAGTCTCAAACATCTGTGGTATAAAGTTGTAAACTGTCCCTGTGTTGCTTAGTTGTTGGATCATTCTAGATGGAGCAGCTTAAAAAACACCCAAGCTGCCCTTGCTGAAGTTTCAAGCATCTTTGTACTGATTTTGAATAAAGGACCTATTTTTATATGAAAACATGTAACAGTAATCATGTATTCACATAATACAATTAACATCACTACATTTCCTTTCATGATGAATGCTGGTTTATACTAGTCCTGGGTTTGGTTTTGGGTTTTTTTTGGCTGTGTTATTTTTTGGTTTTTCTTTTTTTCTGTTAATTCAACTATTTTACTCAGTAATATAATAGTTTAAGTATTTCTATGCAGAATGACTTTCCTGGTTTTAGTTTAGTCACAAGACACTCTATATAAATGCTAAGGTACTGGCACCTTTAAATCCAGTTTCTTCTGCCTATCTTTATCAGAGAAGCATACCACGGAACCATGACTGCTAGAAACTTTAACGGTTCATTCAGGTCCCTTCAGCAGAAAAGGATTTTTCTCAAATTGTTTTTGCAGTGATTTTAATGAGTCACATGGTCAGTGATTGGGCTAGAGATGATAGTAATTGTAACAGCTGACCTGGCCCACTGGGGTCTTGAGGAGCTCCTGGTGTCCTCTCACTGACAGTTCTGCTGCTTTCAGCCTGGTTGCTGTGTATAAGTGATTGTTGTTCTTGAGCTAAAAGAGGGAGAAAAAGGAAAAGATGTGAGTGAAACACTGAACATGACAATCAGGATTCCACAACAATTGCTTTCTCTCTCTATTCTATACCAACTTTACCAAAGCCTAATCATCTGCAGTGATTTTTGTTATCTGCTTAGTCCATCTATAACACAGTGTGGGACCACATTGATGAAGACAGTGAATGGCTTCATGAATAGCTTCCTGAGACTGGCAGGAGTTTGTGTCAATACTGAAATGTCAAAACTTGCCCTATAATGAATGGAATTTTGAAACCTCCAGGGCTAAAAATTCTAGAGGAAGATTTGAGATCAATATAAAAGATCAGTACAGAGACAATACAAAGATTGCCAGCTGTAAAATTATTTAGGTTTTTTTAATAGCTACAAAATGATTCAGGTTTGTTGGAAATGATTTTTTTTTTTTTTGACAGATTACACAAATCTTCAACCATGGAGATCTTCCCACTAAAGGCAACAGTGATATTACATCACCTAAAAAATAAAAACCATTTCAAAGTGTAATCAAATTCTAAATGCCAACAAGTGTCACCTGAGATTTGCGACTGGTACATACTTTTAAAAACTTCATGAAGGTGGTAAGTTTGTAAATATTTTCTCTGGTCATGGCAGATGAAGTTTTCTGTGCTTATTTTACATTTCAGCCCAAAAATCCCAAAGCAATTTGCAAAAAGCTAGACTAACATTATTATTATTTCAATATTACAGCTGGGGAAACTGAGGTCCAGAAAAGTGAAGTGACTTCATTTGCAAAAAGTAGGAAACAACTGATGGAGCTGGGAACTGACCTGAGATTTCCACATTCCTGACCTATTTCTGTAGCCATTAAGCTTAACTGTGTCGCTTTCATTTCATTACTGTTTAAAAAAATGAAATATGGACAAAGTAGGTTGTAAATTTCCTAGTGTAAATTTGTAGCAATTTTTATATGCTTGCTCAGTTCATGAAGCATTTTGAACGGGATGTTGTTCCAGCTGGAACACATCTAAGGAATGCCACTTATGTGGCACTGATGTGATTTCCAGTCTTTAGTACAATACAAGCCGAATAACTTGGGTCATGATGACGCTATTTTCCAGTTCAAATATTAAAACCTAGTCTGGCCATAATGTGAGTTTCCAAAGAAACAGAATAAAATGCTGAATCAAGAAATTCCCTATTCTTCATCAGCCTCTTGTCAGTATATATGAGGATCAATAGATTACATTTAAGGATGATAGGTGTCTGAGATTGTAAATTAAGTTGGGAGGGAGTAGCAATTAGGTCAGGAACTCAAAAGGAAATTATCATATGGACTGAAAGTTTCATAGAATTTATTGAGACTGGCTGATAAGAAATACAAAATCCTCAAATAGTTATCATTTCAATAGCTTCTGTTATCTCTCTGTGGCATGGTTATTGACAGGAGTTAATACTTGCATTCAGCCCAATTCATTACACAGGATTTATCAGGTAGTGATGTGATGATATAATCTATGACAAGGGAGTCAGTTACCTGCCTGTGATAAAGACAAGCTGATCGATGTCCTTTTATTCTTTCATTTACTAATGTTTCTGTTGCTCTAAATGTATTCACTGCCATTGTTACTGCTACAGACACCAGATTTTTTTTTTATACTATTCATCTTATCTTTCATCTTCCTTATTAAACCAAGGGCCTCACTCACAGCTTCACATTGTGGAATACCTAAAGCCTTACAGTTTTATTCACCTTTAGAGTTTCAAGGATATATATTTATCACTGTGTGTTTCTTTTACCAATGCTTTAAACTGTTCATATAACTTCATCCGTGTAAGACCCAGGACATAGTATCACTCTGTTGGAGCAAACCAGTAACAGTGCAAGCCAATAGTGCATTATACTGCTTCTAAAAGCAGCAAGGACTGTAGCCAGTGATGCATACATACAAAAAACTCACCCAGAGACAATACCTCATATTGTACTGTTATTAAATTTTGTCACTGTATAGGAAAGGTACTTCTCAGGCAGCATGAGAAATTCAGGGTTTTTATTTGTGAAACAACTTCAGAAGAGTCACTGGCAAGGTAGCTTCTCCTACATCATTCTTCCAGTGTGGCTCCATGCTTTTTCCAAAGGAACCACCCTGACACATCGTATGGTGATTAAGTCGTATGTGCTCCTCAGTCCCACAGCTGATTCCCCATCCTAGATGCTGAACAGCAGCAGATGTGATGGGAGCACCAGAGTGAAACTCGAACATGTATACTCTTTAGGGCAGAAACAACCGTTAAATGACTCGTATTTGAGACCTTTTAAAAATCAATACGCTATGGTCAGTTTAAGCTAAATAGATAAAATATAAAATAAAAATTAGACTTCTAGATCCACCTTGCAGGTGCCATTTATAACAACAAAGCAACACAATAACAAAACAACTACAAAAGCAGCAATTCAAAATGCTGAGCAATGAGGAGTTCTTCCAGTTCCTCCAGGAGCTTCAGGGTCCTCAGCACTTCTGAATATCAGGTAACACACATAGGAATTTAACATTAGGCTCCTATCATTGAATATATTGGCCTAGATGTATAATTTATTGTCCCATGTATTTTTAAACACAGCGTGCAAAATTATTTCAGGGAATATTAAAATATGGAAATCGGATCTTTTTCTCTCAATATATTTTTGATGAAGCAGGAGTGGCTGAAGGGGAATCCCTGTGGGGAATTTGGTATTTTCCCTGTGTTTCCCATTCCCCGTGTTTCAAGGTGGATTGCTACCTTTTGTGTTTGCAGCTCACCCACACAGAAGATAGCACTCACTCCTGTGTGGAACGTTTTACAGCCATTCTGCTGGAGAAATTACATCGCTACCATGCAAGATAATTCAGTGCTAACAATGGCTATGGCATAGTCAGCAACTCTGAGAACCAGTTGGTTGCTCTAAACCACAGCCAGGACACATAGAAGTGAATTCATACACATTAAGTCACCTCAGCCTCACTCCACAGCAAAGCTGAATTCGAATGCAGCATGATCTACATTTAAAGGTGCATCTTCCAGTTCTTGAAATCATTTGTGACACATAATATAGTGTTCAGGGACCACATGCACGAACGAATTGAGATTTCTTCCCCTCAGACATTATTACACACACATTGTTTTCTCCAGCTTAAGGATGAAAAATTAAAATAAAGCTGTGTTTAGTAAAAATGGCGTGTCATGAATTTTGCAACTCAGAACTTACAAGTCCTTGCATTTTAAGAGTTTTTCTCCCTGTTAAGCATTTGATATTCCCAAATCAAAATAATGATGTTTTATTTATTGAATTGTCCATACTGTGCTGTTTCATGCAACTTGTAAGAATTTATGTCTACATTTTTCCCTGCTTAGAAAGTTTCTTATAAAATTAATTGTCCATGCTGGACTAAGATCCATGTCTTATCCAATGTGGCCATGTGTTGCCACATAGGAGGTAAAGTTAGAGATAGTGATCTGAACACATCTCTTCTCAGAGGCTCTTCTGTCTCACTTACTACTACATTACCTTGAGAAGCATCTGTAACCAAGCAGTTACAATGAGGCTACCCAGTATAGTTTACAGGTATCTAGTAATAACTATCAGAGGGTGACAAGTGTTTCCTCCTGTCTGGACTATCAGATTGAAATAGCTATGTATGATTTCACTTTGTTTGAGAGAGAAGCTAAACCAGAAGGCGTTTTGAATTACTATTTGCTACAAGTAACCCACATCACACTAAACAGTGCCTTTCCAGGATTGGAAACATATTGTCAGAATACCCCAGCTCCCTTGGCACAGAAACCCTTCAATAACAGTTCTGTTGTTGGGCAAATCAAGCACTGAGAGGCCAAGCGGAGGGCTCAGCGACTCTGGAGAGCCCCAGTCAGAGCTTACAATGTCTCTCCCCCGCCGGTAGAAACAGAGTGCCTGAAGACAAGGCTGTTGGGCTCCCAACTGTTCAAGTTCATTAGCTGACGTCCCTTTATGGGAATTGAATAATACAGGCAGGGCTTGTGCTGGTGGTCTGCTCCTCATGGGAGGCAGGATTCCAGAAGCGGGGAAGATGAGCCTTTCTGACATACCACCTTTCATCCCAATCTCTTTAAGCGCTTCTACAAGCATTAATTAATTAAATATCCCAGTGCCCCTGTGAGATAAGTGTCATCTCAATTTTCTAGATGGGTAAACTTGGGTATGCAGATTATAAGTGGCTTCCTCAAGTTATTCAGCAAGCCAGAAGAGGTTTGAAAATGGAACCCAGGAGACGTAATTTCAAACTCGCTCCTGTAACACTTGACAACATTTTTCTTTATTCTTATTTTTACACAGATGCCACTACAAATTGAATTATACAGCTTTTTTCCCCTGGTCAAAGCTTCTCTGTTGTTTTGATGCCATTTCAATTTTATCAACTGTAGCCTCCCCCTTCAATAAGCATTTTTTAATCGATTTTTGCTAGTGTTTGCATTTTTTAAAAGCAAACCTTTAAAACACCTGATCCATGCTCATTGGACATCCTTGCTGGCTGTGTCCTCCGTTAATATCTGACTCCATGCTCAGCTGCACAGAAGAGAATTCTGTGCCTGCTGAGGTTCTGATTCTTCAGCATTGAAATTTCCCTCCTGGATGTGAATAACAGTGATTTCTCTTCATTCCTCTACATTAATTTTTAATCACAGCCTCTACTTTACCATTGCTGATTGAATTTCCTACCACATCTAATGGCCTTTCTTGTAATATTCATTCATTTAAAATATGTATGCTGATGCTATATCTTATTTTTCAAGGGCAGCTTGTTTAAGGCCAGCAGCAAAGAAATAGCTATTATACAGATGTTAAACTACAGTACGTTGCTGTATGTTTGATCACCAGGGCAGAAGTAAAGCACTCTATTCTCTCAAAAAAGGGCACAATTGTACAGGGAACATGTGTAATACCTAGCAAAATTCAGTCACTGTTGAAATGAGCAACAAAAGTCCTACTCAATTCAGAGGGAAACAAAGTTCATACATTATTTTATCATGTCTAAAATAGAGTCTGAAACTGAAAGCCAAAAGAGTCACAGTGCTGTAGATTAATTTTACAGCAAGTATTCAATAGAGGACCTGGATTTAATATCCCCAGCACTGCAATACTCAATAACTAAAAGGTCAAAAATAGAGACGCACTGAATGCAAACTCCATATTTTAGCAAAAAGGAATAACAGGGAAGAGTCAACATCCAAAAGCATTTCAGTCTACCATGCATTATCCTGGTTTTAAATTAACAGGAAGAACTATATTGATTTTTCAGCAGAGCCATTTGCTCTCAAACCAGATGATTGCATTGTTTTCTTTTATTGAACTGAATAGTTTCAAATCCTTACAAATCTACTCACCTTTGGGTTGGCAGTTTTGCCCACTGTACCCAGGACAGCACTTCCACTCCAGCGATGTTACTATTTTATGTTTGATTCTGTAGGCTTGGTGTGTTGTTGTCTGGGACCTGCAAAACAAGACCATTTAAAATCTATTTTAGGTGACCAGACAGGAGTTGCAGGATACCTGTATAACTATATTATCTTACATGTCAAATGTATCCTTTTATTAACTGCTTGAAACAAAGTGAAGCCTAATTAGGGTTTGGGTTTCAATAGCAATCACAGTTTTAATATTTCAGCCTTCAGATCATCTGCACGGATTCTAAAGGAACTGATGCCTATGTAGTGCTGTCAGGCTTCTTCCCAGAATATCTTATTCAGAAGTCAAATACTGCTAACTTTTATGGAAGATAATACAATTAGTGTCTACTAAACTGGGCATAGTGAGCCAAAAATACAATTGTGAAATACTGTTTTCTTTGAAATCAGTGAAAAAAAGCATTCACGGTGAATTAATGCCATGTTAGTTCACATTTAGTGCACATCGGAAGCCTTCCATTCTGATTATTTTAAACAAGATTATACAAACATTAATCCAATAAAGCGTAAAAATTTCTACTCCGGAAGTCGGCTATGTAATTGTGATACCTCAGTTACTACTGTTAAAGTATGTAACTGCAGAGGCAGCAGCAATTTTGTTTCTGTGTTCTAACACATTCTGCATGTCCTGGCTACCTCATCATTTCTTGCACTTAACGTCACAGAGAAGTTATTTTAGAATGAACATGCTGCAGTAGGGCATACAGAAGAAACTTAACTACAGCAACTGTACATGCCTCTTTTAAGAAGTTAAATATGAAGTTTGTATAAAAAGAATATAGTACAGTTCTGCTAGTTGCTAAACACTACCATGAAGTACACCTCAAATCTCAGAAAATACAATGATAAAATGGTTACAGAACTGTTTTGGACAAATTATCACTGTCTAAATCATTCCAGAAAGGGGGACAAATTTGAAGACTGTCAGACCAAAAAACATCCTCCCAATGAATCAAAAAATGCCACCTTGTTTTACACTGTAGTTAATCTTGTCACCCCTTCACACGGGATGTAATATTATATATATTAAAATTCATAGCAGCTGGCAGGAGCTTTGCATGTGTCCCCAACCAGCTTTTCCTCTGAGAAATGGCTTTTTCAGTAGCAAGAACTCAATAAAAATTAAGGTGAACTGAAATCACGAGAGTTGTCAGTTCTTTTGCTGTATGGATGGTCTTATTTTGTTATAAAACTATCTTATTCGGCATTAGCATAATCCATTCCTTAAAGCACTCACACAAATGAAGTGTCCATGAAAGGAGCTAATCAGGAATAGCTATTTCAAAACTAACTCTCCACATAGACAAGCCCCAGAACTGTATATAGTACAGACTTATTTACAGGAGTAGCACAAGGAGCTAATTTTCCTACAAAAAATAAATCAGAGTTATTGTGAATCTTCTAGATTGAATTAAAAAACCAAAACATAGCAACATTTAAACCACAGGGTCCATTTCACAGTTTTGCAATACCATCGACTATGTTTCAGAGTCACCAGACCCCAAGGATACTCTATTTCTGGTTTCACCTCAAAGCTTTAAGCATGTTCTGCCATACCACCTAGAGGACAATTCTCGTAACAGTCAACCTGACCTTTAAGAGGCTTTTTAAATTTTTCAAAGGAAAAATATCTTATAACTTCTGTTTCAGTTTGCCATTTTCCAGGCCCATGCATTAAAATACAATTTAATTTACTATTGAAATCTAATGTTTGGAGAATACAATAAGGCACACAAACCACAAAGGACAATCTGAATACGTTTAACAGAGTCATTATTTACAAGTTGTATCCAGGCCAATTACTTTTCTAGGTTCACTGCCTGACCAAAGCTGTGCCAGAAATAAGCACCCAGCAGAGAGATAATAACAAAAATGTTTATGCCTCTCAGGGGAAGCCTTTTGCTCCAACAAAGCACAAGCTTGGAAAATTGCACAGAAAGGATTTTTTTTCCCTCATGTGCTTTAAAGCTTTGTACATGTGCACCTTTCCTTGCAGTACTCCAGAAGTGGGGAGTGGGCCCACTTTGAACTGATCAGAGGGTGCCAGAGTGAAAGCATGCCAAGCCTGCATTGTGGAGCTCAAGGACACTTCCCAGTCATGAGTTTTTATACTCACTATGGGGACACGTTAAGATGAGACCTGAAAACATGCTAATCTTCTCCCCCGTTTTAATTTTCATTTCTAAAGTCATGGTTGTATTAATTATGCAGCTGGTGATAATTAAAGCACTTGCAAGCACTCTTTCTTCCTAGTTCTACACACCTCTGAGCACAGGACCCAATACGCCAAGTGCAAGGCTTCACTCTGCCTGATGACAAGGTTTCCAGGTTGTCCACTACCACTGTAGGTAAGAGTCTGGTATGAACATAAGCACACCAGTTCCTGTAAGAGACAGAAGGTAAACATAATTAAAAGTACAAATAATGTTTTCCACAATATGATGATATATGATACTTAAAGGGGAAATTTAAGCCCATAATTTAGGGATAGGGCTCAGTTATGAAAATTAAGTTTGGTTTCTCTCAGACTGCCAGTGCAGTCTTGGGCAATTACTTAGTCTTTGTTCTTCAGCTACCCATTAACAACAAAGAAAATACACAATGATTTCTCTCAGTACACATATTTATATTGCAAATCTAAATTTTTTTGGTAAATATTTGTGGAGCACCAAGTACAAAGAAGCTCTTTTAGACTGCAGTAACGACAGGTCTTAAACTACACCTACATTTCAGACTATAGAAACTGTTTATTCAGAATTCAAAGGCTTGTTTAGCAAGATTTTCAATCACCCATAACTTTCACTTTATGGATAGACATTTCTACTCCTCCTCCCTTTCTCCAGCAATATTGTGAGTACATGTAGACCGTGTTTTGCAGTGCACTTTGAGGTGAATGCCACACACAGCAATAACGTGCCATAGCTCCATGCTTGCCTGTGCCACTAGCTACCTACCCAGAGAAGGATGTCACATACGAAATGATCACACCTTTGATCACTGCAGCACAGTATGTGGGAGTTGGCAAGTGCAAGGCAAGGTTTGTTTTTTTTAAAAAGGATTCTCAGGATGTTGCAAGAAACCACAAACTGCTAAATCAGATTTTGAAACCAGGCGACTTGATAGAAACTACAGTGCAGAACAGAATAAAGTAGAAATTACAAACTGAATAATGGCCTGGGACAGATTTGTATATGGAAATTATGCCTCAGAAATCTCTTGGCATTCTTTGAATCAGAAGCAGGTAGATAGAAGGGTGATTTTCAGAGGCTTTTGGCAAGGTCACTCACCAAAAGCTATTAGGGGAAAAAAAATGTAATCTGTCACACAGTAAGAGGATAGATCCTGTTATAGATTAATAAGGCATTCAATCAGAGAGGTGAAAGACTAGTTGGCTTTCTCAAGAAGCAGTTTATCAGCAGAATCCCACATGAATCTGTAACATGTTATATTCGTTAATGAGGGGGAAAGTAGGTGAACAGGGATATGACAGAGTTACACAAAATCATTTTTTGTAGTAAACCTAAAGCTGATCTTGAAGAATTGTGGAAATCTCATAATACTGAATTTCCAAATAAGTAAGTGTCAGAAAAGGGTCTTTTAATGCAGAGTCAGGCACAAATAAAGACAGCCTTATACAGACAGTGTGACTACCTAAATTAACTATCATCAGGAAAAGATCTTGGAGTTATTGTGATTAGCGCTTTGAATTTGCCAATTTAGTATTTTGCATTAACTAAGCTAGTGAATCAAATACGTGAAATTATTAGGGAAGGACTAGAGAACAAACAGAAATCACTAATGTTTCAGTACATCGACTCTTTGTTGCTGTAAATGAGTTTATGATTAGCCCACAGTTTGAATACAGAACCAAGATTCATTCCTACATCCTAAAGAGAGGTGAAAAGAAAGATACAAATAGAAGATGAAGAGCAAGAGGGATGGGAAGTCATGGTGTTCATTATTCAGTTGGTCTTGTTATGACAAAGAGGCATCAAAACAAGACAGGTTTAAACTTAAAGGGAAGGAAAAAAAAAACGGTCGGCATGGCGTTTCCACAAACATAGACTGTGCCAGATTTGGAAGCTGAGGAAGCCAAAATGGGTTTTTAAAAACCACTTAAATGATTTCATGAAAGAACATGTCATTAGGGTGCTGTTGGTTTGGGGTTTTTTTAAGCATAAAGTTGTAGCTATAACTTCTGTCTCAGGAAGTCCCCCAGCTGCAGATTGGAAGGCATCCTGAAGAAAATATTATTGCATTTCTGCTGGTGGAACAAATGTCTATTTGATCTAGTAGTGATTTTTTTTTCTGGCTCTAACTTAGTACAGCCTTTCTCACGGCCATACATTATTCCCTTCTTCATGCTGAAACATACTTCATTTTTGACTTGGCAAGTTAGCAACAAGACATTGTTTCAGTTGTAGGGATGGTGATCTTGCAAGTACTTCCATACCAGTATTCGCACATGAGAACTTAAAAGTTTGTCTTCCTGGATCATGTTTTGCTGCTAACCTTTGCTTCTGGTTGTAGTAGTTCTGTCTGTGTTTCATAATCCAGTAAGGAGGTATATATTTACCCCTGAAATTGGTATCTTGCTATGGGCTCCTTACAGTGGAAATCAAAATAGAATTAAGACCAGATTAGTTCCATTTACTTAAGCAGCATTAGTACAGATTTACACTGCTTCAAACAAGAACAACGACACAAAACACAAAATAGTATCAGTGTCTATTCTTAAGTGATTGGTTTTGTCTACTGAGATCCTACCAGTGCATTCACATTAAATTCAGTAGTGCTTTACTTTGAAAACGATTCCTGAGAAAACAGGAGGATAAGCTAGGACATAAAATGCTAAGTAAGGCTAACAGACTGAACCTCTCAGTATTTCTGCTGCTAGTATTGTGGTGCTTCCCCACGCAACACATGCTATTTAATTGATGAATAATGTGTTTCATATAAAATGGGTTTTTATTGAGTCTCTTTGATCTGATTTTGCTCCTTCACTCTCCACTTCCTTAAGACTTTCCATTAGGATAATATTTCTTTTTAATTGGGTATAAAAAGACTGTGCTTTTGTTTGATGCTTCCTTTACGTTCTGTCTCCTCTAGCTATAGCTTTTTGTCTGTGTGTATAAATTAGAGACAAATGAATAAATATTTGCTAAAAATTAAATGCAGCTCTCAAACATAAGCTTAAAGATTAGGTCCCCTTCTCACTATCTCTGTGGAAGCCAGGAGCAACTCTATGCAAGTTTGAGACATAAAATTGGGAGAATCAAGAGGAAACTTACATCTTTGGAGTTTTGCAGAGGGATCATGAAGTTACTTATATCACCCCTCTAGCTGGGGCATATGGGTCCTTTACAATCTCCTGTATCACACAGAGACTAGCAGTAGTAACTAAATCATAATGATATTTGCAGTTAAACATTGCCAATAGTTAGCCAGAGAGGGAGAGGTTGTAGCTGCATCCCTTCCAGCACACCTCTGCAGCAGCAAGGGAGGATAGGCACCTCCTCTTGCCAAGCATCAGTAGGAGCAGGACATGGCAGGGCACTTAGCTCCCTTACAAGCACGACCAGGAAGACAGCTTTTCCATGGGGCTTCCATGCTGAGCATCAGGGAGCAGCAAGAAACAGGGTTTCTCCTTAACAGAAGATGAGGGGCAACCACACAAGCAGAGGCACTGACCTCACCAGCAGCATGCAGTACCACAGCACAAGAGACAGGCAAGCAGCAGTAGGGTGACAGGAACAGGTCAGTTAGCAGCCCAGCAAGTATCAGGCAAAGACTAGGTAACAAGTCAGGTCCAAGAAGGCTGCTAGAGACAAGCACCTTTATGAGGTGAACAGGCTCAAGCCTGGTCTTAAATGGAGCCCCTGGCCCATGAGTGTGGGTGGAGGTGTTAGGTGAGATTGTTTAGGGCTATTAAGGGCTTGTTAGTGTGCCCAGGGCACTACTACTGAGCTTCTTTCTCACTGCAGGCATGAGGTAGGTCTCTTTCATTTCACAGCTGTAGTGAGGGTTCTGTATATTCATACCCATGATTAAAAACTGTATTTTTCTCTGAAGTGCAGCACAGAGATTAAAAAAATCTCTCAGCATATGAATGGGATACTAGATATTTCTTAACAGATGCAGAAAGTGATACTGGGCCAGGCTGACAGTGGTCTATTCAGGTGGAGCTCTGACTAAGCATGGTGCTTTGCTTATGATTTAAATTTGGTATTGAGAATGTAAACATCTAAATTTCTGAATAATTCTCAGCAATTAATTGATGACATATAAAGGCTGATCAGAAGACCTCTGAAGTGATACCACCACCTCAAGTAGTTGTGTAGTACCTCTGTTACTGTTGCAAGTTAGCTGTCTGGAGAGTGAGGAGCTAAGAGTTAACACCTTGGGCAGCTGGGTGCTAAACTTGCCACCTCTGCAAATCAACAACCTAAACACAAGAGTCAGATTTTAAAACCTGGGCTACAATGAGCCAGTGGTGATGTCAAGCCTTGAGCTTGTGGGTCTCCAGTTTGTGCTCTACAGCATGCAGACCTGACAGCTCACCAGAGAAAGGGATTAAGCAGAAGACATATAGCGGTGTTCTCAGTGCTGATATTTTCTGCAGTGCATATGGTTGGGGTATAATTTTTGGTAATTGAATTCCATTTTACATCTGATCAAATGTGATCAATGAAAAGATAAAACAATGAAAACAGGCATAAAATGCAGTTGTAAAATACATGAAAGCCCTGGAATACAGAGAGTTCAGTTAAAAAAAAAAATCTACTTTTTAAAATTCATAATGTAAATCCAGTAATTATCATTATCATTGAGGGTTGCTAGCTTCAAGGTAACAGCTAGTGGAACTTGTCCATTTGAAGATGCCCTCCAAAGGAAAACATGGTACAATACCTCCCAAATGTACCAGTTAAGGACTGCTCCTGGTTTTTAAAAATAGTCTGAACTCAGTCTCTGGTCTCTATCAAAAATTTAACTCAACTTGAGCAGATTGTTTCTATTTAAAATATTTAAGTCATTCTTAAGCTATATGAGCGCAGTATCTGAAGCTGCGGTTCTCACATGGCCCAGCAATCTTTGATCAGGCTAAATTGGAGGAAATATTCACAGCATAAAAGCCCCTGGTGTGACTCATAATTAGGTTTATGCTACCAATGAAATAAGCTCATTAAGAGATGTTAAGAATGTAAATATAATTTTGAAATCAAATTGTCTGAAAAAATGTAGATTTGGAAATAGAAGATGAAGCGTGGCAGAAGAACTATGACAGGCTGTGTTAATGCAAAGGCAGAACAGAAGACAACTGATTTGCATAACAGGACTTTAAACCTGAAAATCCTCTTTACCCTCCATGGAATAATATATTCCAGATCAGCAACACAGGCTTCTAACATGCAGATTGTGTTGAGAGCTGCAGGAGCCTGGCATTTCTTTTGCATCGAGCCTGATTTCAATCAGCAAAGCCATATTTAAAAACAAAACAAAATCCTTGCAACGTACAACAGAAATCCAGCCTGGAGACAGCAGTGCAAGCCCCTTTATGCAAACTGGCATAAAGCCCATGTGACAGATCTCATCCTCCTCTTGCATGTATTGGCCAGAAAAACTCGCTGGTAGCAAGGTGTGGGAGAGTACCTCTAGTCCTCAGGCCTTTGAAACAGCCTCTTTGCTTGTGATATTTGCAGCAGTATTTCCAGCTCTGCATCAAGTGCAGTTTGACCATACCTGAGAAGTAAGGCATAGTACAAAAAGCGGTTTTTGCTTCTTTTGTAGCCAATAAGCATGTCTACACTGCAGCCTTGGCAGGCCTCAGTCCTTTGGGTTTTACGGCCACTGCGAATTCAAAGTCCTCACTAGCTAATATCCTGTGGAGCCTGCTTGTGTGGCTGGAGCAAAGCACCTACAACTGGCAGGGAATTAGTGGGACTCAGATGATGCCTTTAAGCCTGTCTTTAGCTTTTGGGATCCTGCACAGCTTATTTAAATCTTGCATTAATACCCTCTTGGGAAAGTTTTCTTCTCTTCTCCTTGTAACAGTCCTGTTTCTTTTTCCACAGAGAAAACATTCCCATGAAGCGTTTCTTCATTTCCACATTTGGCCCCAAAGTAGAAAGGATGCAGCCTGGAGATAACTGTGCAACAGAAGTAATTTTGGGGCAATTGTAAGCAAGGACTGCCTGCACTGTGTCCATGGCAAGAAGCCCACTGCCCAGTCTACTATGAGTATGTACCAATTATACAGGTGTTTCCCTCAGCTGGAAAACAGCTTATTTCTGAGAGCGTAAGACAGATTACCATAGTGTTTCCCTGTGTTCAGCTGACTCATCCTCAGCGATTTACATCAGACTCATGATATGAAGGTATATACACGGTATGAATTACTAGGCAACATCTTGCAACTTCCAAGGGATGCGATTTGCAGCAAAAAGCAACTTCCCTGTCTGTGTAATAAAACCACACGGTCTATGGAAACATGCCCCCTGATGCACAGCTAGCAGACGAATAGTAGGTAATGTCTGAGCAGTAGTTATTCTTGTTTAAGCCTTCAGAAGCAGCAAATAGGGCTTCTTAATTTACTGGCGCAGATTTCTGAAGCTGGACTTGACTTTATATGATGAAGAACACCCCACTTGGTTTCAAGTAGCTGTATAAGCACATGCTTTTACATATGTCCCTGGCTCCTGATTCAGAGGATACGTGCCTGACAACACGCGAGGGCCCTTAAACTCATCACTGCTTTGTAAGAGTGTTGCCAGCACTCTTAAAACCCTCGTCTAATTCGTAATTAGCAAGGCTTATGCTCTACATTACCACTTCTTTGGTGGCAGCCTGAGTGCCCCGCCTGAGCCGCCGGGCCCTAGCCGGGGAAGTGGCGGGTGGCTCACGCCGTCGCCCTGGGCAGGCTGCCATCACAAAATCACTAAGGTCAGAAAGGACCTTCAAGTCCAACCATTAATCCA